GGACTCAGGGTTGGGGTGGGACTGAGTGTGATGGGTTTAGAAGCCACTGAAAACTCAAAGCACCGCATGCACAGACCTCATCGGAGGTCGGGCCCCCTCAGACCTGTGGTGTCAGGGGAGCATGGCTGTTGGGTGGAAATCCCCAGATAAAATCAGCCCTGGCTGGGTCTCCTGCTGGTTCTCTCGGAGGTCATAACTGCTGCTCTGTTTCCATGCTTGCGTGGCAGCATGTGCAGGGGGTGGAGGGGTCACAGCTGTGAGAATGCCTTCAGTCCTCACAAGCCGATTCGCATAAAAACTCAGCAGGGCTGATGACAGAAGCAAAACCTTCTCGAAGCCCTTTCAACGGCCAGGATTGTCTTCTTGTTTGTTTATTGGCACGAGCCTGGCTGCAGAGCATCCACCTGGTCGGGCTCCTGGTCATCATCTCATCCACAGTCCCCCTTTCCTGAGGATGAGAATGTGGGAGGGCGTGTGACATCCCCAGGGGCACACAGCCTGCCAGTGGCCAAGCCAGGACTAAATCCAGTCCTCCTGGATCTAGGGTTTTCTCTACAAACGTTTTTACCCCCACATATTTGCCAGGAGGTTACCGAGTACCAGGTACACACAGTGGAAAAGACACACAGGGTCCCTGGCCCACAAGCAGCCTCTGTTCTGGTGGGAGGGACAGTCGAAACATAATTAATTGTAAACATGCTGTTAAATAAAAGTAAGCGAGCTGCATGAGTGCTTCGATCAAGGGTCAGAAATAGATAATGGGGGGGCGGATTTTCTATCCGTGGTGGTCAAGGAAGCCTTCTCTGACGAGGTGACGCTTCTTCAAGACCTTAGGTAAGGGGAGGGCACGTCAGGCCAAGGAAGGTCCCACAACAGGAAGGCAGAGGAACTCGGTGTGTCTGCTGGTGACTGGAGGATGGGGGCGGGAGGCAGCGGTGAGTGTGGGGAGAGAAGCAGGGATTCTCCGTGCCTTGTGGCCCACAGTGAACAGTTTGGACTGCATTTTAAGTGCCCTGCGACATGGCCAGATGCACGTCTGAGGATTACCGGGGCAGCTGTGTGGCACTGGGTGGAAGCAGGACAGGAGTGGGAACAGGGGGGCCAGTAGGGGGTCCCACCCAAGTCAAGAGGAGAGGGTTGGTGGCTAGGGCAGTGGCGGAGGACGCAGGTAGAGGGCAGACTGGGGATCTACCTTGGAGATTGGAGCCTTGCAAGTGGTGATTTGGCTGGGGCGGGAAGAGGGGCGGGAAGGAGAGGGAGGCAGCAAGGGCGACTCTGAGTTTCCAGCCTGGGTAACACTCAACCTCAGTGCCATGTGTGTCCTCTAGGGAAGACTTGCTCTAGCGCTTTATCACAGTCTAACCTCCATCTCAGCCTCCTCCTGCCTAATAACAGCCTCTCAGTTCAGTAAGAGTCATTATTCTGCCTGCTCAGCAGGTGGGGAAACTGAGGCACACACTAGCAAAGCAAACTGCTTCTTAGGGAACCAGTTGTAGGAACTAGACAAAGTGCCAGAGCCCAAGCCTGGGGTCAGCCTCTGGGCAGCAGAGTCCAAAGACCCAGGCATCATGCCCAGTGGTTGTGATTTATCAAGCTGTGTGACCTTGAACAAGCGATATGACCTCTCTGGGCCCCAGTTTCCTCATTAGTAAAATGGAGAAAATAAAAGGACCTACCTCATGGTGTGCTTGAAGGATTAAATGAGGGGTAGATTCTCAATAGATGTGAGTGATTACTACTTTCGGATTACACGGGCCATCTGTGTGTCCACCTCTCTATACACATTGTGTATGTGTGCCTGCTTGTACAGAAGCTGTCTTCGTGCCTGTGTCACAGCTGATGACCAGGCAACCGCTAACGTTTCAAGCTGGCGGTAGTGGATCTGCTCCCTGTGCTTCTGTTTAGCCTTCCGAGCCACCGCTTGGTGGTTGGAGCAGATGCTTTCATGCTCCCTGGAACAAGGGCGTGTGGTGGTTTGGAGGCAGATGTGGAAGGCCAGGCGTCTGTAAGCCAGCCTGTTTCCAAGCGCTCTGACCGACCTGACCCAGGAAGGGGGTGGGGTGGGAAGGAGGGGGAGTAAGGGGGAGGGGGCCAGAGAGGTCCTAGGAGGGACCCACCCCCCCAAAGGAAATGCACAGTAACAGATCTAGAGTCTGGCCCGCCCTGAGCCCCTTCTGTGTGGCTTTGGGAGCCTCTCCCACCCCCCCTCTCCCCACCCCACCCTCCAAGACTCCTCTATGTTCCTGTTCCCAGAAGGCAGCTGGCATGGGGGCTGAGAACAGGGAGGCAAGGCTGGAGGGGCAGAGGGGCAGAGGGGCAGGGCTCCCCACTTTTTGCCCAGAGCCCTTCCGAAGGGTGTGTCCCAACAGGGCATGCACACACAGTGATTAAGGGGGAGGGAGGAATGACATCCACTGCCCACTGCGGTACCCAGCCGGTAGGCTGGACCGTGGCCAACTTTCCCCTGAGGCTCTTGGCTGCAGTATCCTCAGCCCTGGCACCACCCACTGGCCTACTCAGACACTCCTTCAGGTCCAGGGGCTGGAGCCCTGCTAGCAGGAACCGCCTAGGGGTGGGGTAGGCTGGGCTGGGCTCGCAACTCTCCCCCACCCCTCCCTAAGCCTCCCTCCTCCACTCCCTCTGCCCACATCCAGCTCCAGCTGGGTTTGAAAGAGGTGCTCTAATCCTCCCACCCTCCAAAGCAGGCCCTGCCCTGTATTCTCTCCTTTTTTTTGGGGGGGGGGGCGGTAAGCGGGCCTCTCACTGCTGCGGCCTCTCCCGTTGCGGAGCTCCACGGCATGTGGAATCTTCCTGGACCGGGGCACGAACCCGCGTCCCCTGCATCAGCAGGCAGACTCTCAACCACTGTGCCACCAGGGAAGCCCTGTACTCTCTCCTTTTAGCTCGAAGCTGTATCCATAAACTGATTCTCTTGTAGACCCCAACCTGATGCTTTATCCATTGGGAGAACCCTCTAAACCAGGCCAGCTGCCCCCTCCCCCAGCCTTCACTCCTCCCACCTGACATGCCCTCCTGCTCACAGCAGCACAGACTTCCAGGTCTGCCTGGACCAGTTCCTGGAGCCCTCTCCAGATGAGTCCTATCCTCATGACTGCCCTGGGTTCCTCGTCTGCTCTGCAAAATCAGCGCCCTGTTCCTAATGGACCCCGGATAGTGCTCTATGTACCCCGCCCCACGCTGACTGGTCCCCTGTGCTTTATCTCCCCACAGACGTGAGGCTTCGAGGGGAGGGCGACACCCCACTGCACCCACCCCACCCCACCTCCACCCAGGCCACTGTGGCAAACCTCAACTTCTGGGTGCACAACAAACACTTCTGGATTGATAACTGATTCCATCCAGGTCATGTGCTGGCACCTTTACCTACTGGTTCTAGGAGTGGAGTGGGGAGTTATGCCTGAGTGGGTATTTAATTAGTGCCTTTGTGGACACAGGGATTTAACTTTTCATTCTTTGGCTTGGGTGTTCCGGGAGTACATGGTTTTTGATAAAAACCTATATGGAGTCATCCAATCTTGGAAGCTGTCCACCAACCCTGATTAAGCGCCTTCCCTTCTGACCTTCAGTGCCTGATTCCCTGATTTACCACCCCCTCCCCTCCCTTCCCCTCCCCTCCCCTCCCCTTCCTTTGATAGTTGCTAACTGTACGGTTACTGTGGATACACCTGGGTATATGCAGATTTATCATCAAATAATCCCAGAGGAAAACAGATAAATTGTGACAGCATGGTGGCCTCCTCCCTCCCCTCCCCTCCCTAGCTCTGAGCCTCTCCATCCCCATGCGCTGCCATCAGTGACCCTCCCACCATAACAAGAAGGTCTGACAAACTCCTTCCAGCCCCTTGTGGAGACTCTTGCCCCTGACCCATGGGTATTTTTCAGTTTTAGAACTACAGAAGGAGACCCTTCCTGCCTTCCTGAAGCAAATTTGCCTGCCTGGTGCAGGCTCTGTGCTGGGCGTGCCCCACAAAGGAATGAATCATTAACACTGGGATTTCAGGCAGGGGGCACCTGTTGGAAGAGGTGAATTTAAGTCTGAACCATCTTCCTGGGGTTCTGCAAACCTCAGCCCCATCCTGGGCCTTCATAGACTGATGGGCCTTTGGAATTTACCTATGGCCCTGGGATGCTTTAGTGTTTGTGGCCTGCCGGTGAAGAGTGGCAGAGGCCATGGAGGGCCGGGTCTCTCATTGGTCTCATTTGTTTTGAGCTGAGTCTCCATCACACACCAGGCAGCTGGTCTCCGGGGAAGAAGGACCCTCCCTCCCTGGCTCCTCCCCCCTTTCTGAGAACCGCCAGCCTAGGTACCCAGGAGCTAGTGAGGGTTCCCCCCAGGTGAAGGGCAGTTCTAGGGAAAAGGTCTGACAGCAGCAGGAGCCTCCAAGCTGGCAGTTTCAAAAAGGGCGTGGTTTCAAGGAACAGCTTGAGCAAGGGTGCTCCGCCACACCTCTCTGGGATTGGTGGCTGGCCCACCCCAAATGTGGACTGTTGGGTCTCTGGTTGGCATTTCTGAGTCAGTCTTAGAATGGCAACAAAGCCAGGGACAGCCTGGTGATACTGCGTTTGTCGTTGGGGAGAATAGGGCAGTAGGTGCTCCCACTTCAGGCTTCAGGACTCCCTCCGGGCCAAGTTCCCTGGGCAACCCCGTGGAGGGAGCCACGGTTCTGTGCTTACTTCCTGCATTTCCCTCCTTTTCATTTGCCACTTGAATGCTTGCTGTGCAGTGTTTTATTTGATAAGTTAAGTTACACTCACGACCCTTTAAAGAGAAAACATATAATTCTAGTAATTTTACTGGGCTCAGGTTTCAGGCAAATGGAAATAAAATTGCCTCTAAAAATAAAAGACATGCAGAATTGGAGAAAAAAACAATAACAATGAAAAGCCATCCCTGATTTGACATAAATGGTAAGGCATTTTGTGAAATGTTAGAGAAAACATAAACAAACGGAGAGATCCAGGAGAAAAGTGGGGGAAAAGCTCCTCCACTGCCCTTGCTTTCATTTCTGCTTTACCTTTACGAAGGGGCTTACTTTTCGTAATTGAAAGTGAGGCGTAAAGCGCGGCTAGTGAAATTGGTCCTTGTCCCGCGCTGAACAGTACAGGTGGACAAAAAGGGGCTGCCTGCCAAATACTTCTGGTTGGAGGGAGGGGTGGGAGTGCTCTCTCAAAACCACTCCTGGAATGGCTTAACTCGCCCAGCACGAATCAATGACAACCTCCCGCCGGCTGCGGCAGGCTCCCCTGAGCTGCGCTGCCGCGTGAATTCCCAGCCCGGGACCCTGGCGGCGCTCAGGACACGACCCGGGCACGAGCGGCGTCCCCGGGGCGGCCAGGTGGGTCTGCGGCGGCCTCGGCCGGAGCGGGCTGGGATGGGCTCGGGGCTCCGGGCAGGCGGCCGTGGAGGCGGGGGTGTGGGGGAGGCGCCTCGGGCGCCCGGCGGCTGCATCCCCTCTCCCGGCACTGCGGGGACGCCTGGCCCGGGTGGCGGCTCGGACTGGCCCTCGCCGGGCGTGAGTGGTGGCGTCCGCGAGGAATTTCAAAGCCGCGCCTGGGCTGGAAACGAACGTTCTGGGGAAAGCGGGGCTAGGGCCCCCGCGGTGATGCAGGGGCGCGCGGCCGCCTACCTCCCAGCGCAGCGCAGGAAAGAATCGGGGACTCGGAATACAGCAACTCTGCTCGCGTTCTCAGCGTCCGCGGCCCTCGCGTCAGGTTTTGGAGTGGCAGAAAGGGGACAGCGGAGAGTGCGAGGGGCACTCTGGAAGGTAGTGGTCGATAGACATTGTTAGTTTCAAGACCCTCCCCCCCAGAAAGCTTGGTCCCCCCTATGTCAGATGCAAAACTTGGGGGCGGGGGCAGGGAGAAAGCCAAGGTAACTCCTGGCAGAAGTCAGGACAGGGGCAGGAATGAAAGGGGGATTGGCACAAGTCGCTGGGCGAGCCGGAGGGAATCCCGTCGCCGTCCCGGGCAGAATCGCCAGCAGAACCGGGTGGGTGGGGACCCTTCCCTGTGCCCTGACCTGGGCGTGGGTGGGTGGTGGAGCCAAGCCCGGGTCCCGGAGCTCCAGAGGCGGCCGGGTCCGGGTGGGACGGGCCGGCTCCGCGCGCCCCAGCCCGCGTCGCCCTCGCGACCGCCGGGTTCCCTGCAGCAGGGTTCCCGCAGCGGCCGCGGGCTGGCCTAGGAGGGACTCAGGAAAGAGCCTGCACACACACATCCCCCCCGCCCCCCGCCACACACACACACCCCGGCGCTGAGAGTCGAGCGGGTGCAGTTTTCTTCCTGTCTGTGGTCAGGGCTCCGTGGGCCGTCGGGTTTGGTCGTGCTGGTTTCTGGCTTCTGTTGCCCCGGCTGTGGACGGTGGGCCCGGGACGGCTGCCCTTTTTCTTTTAACCCCCGGTACTGGGCTCTGCACAGGAGACAGCCTCATTCCCGCGATTCATCGGGCGACGGGTGGCGTACCCCTTACAATCCCTCCAAATGCAGGAATATGAACAAGTAAAGGAAGTGGTTGAAACAATCTGGCAGTTTTCTCCAGTCATAGAAGTTTTTGTGGAAGGGGAGGGATAGGAAGGACAAAGGTCCTGCCAGGTTCAAGTTTCAGCTCCACTCCGTCACCCAGTTAAATCCTAGGAATTAGAAGGATTCAGGGACCTCCTCTGGATAGATCTCCAGATCTCTTCTAACAAGTCAAAAGAGACACAAGCTACACATTGGGCCCTTCCCTGAATCAACTTTTCCTTGAGAGACAACTGGGAGAGCCATTTTGGGATCTGAGAAGAGGTACTTTAGCAGCCAGAGGTCTACAAAGGCTTAAAATAAGAGGAGGCTTTGGGGCAGGACCCTGAGGGAGGAAGACCAAAAGAGCAAAGGCCTGGAGGTCATAGAACTCGAGGCTTATCCTGCCGTGTCAGCTGTGGGAGATAAGCCAAAGAGGGTACGGGCAGGGAAGAGAGGGATGGGGCATTCAGAGACCATCTACCATGTGCCAGGTACTGTGCTTGGCATACTTTATCTCCTCTAACCCACACAACCCATTGGATATGAATCATTAGCTCCACTTTGCAGATGAGGAAACTGAAGCTCAAAGGGGTTAAGTAAGCTGCCCAGCTCCTTAGCGACAGAACCAGGAATCCAAGCTACCCATTATACCACCCATCTTTAGAATGTTTCATTTTAGTTGAGGAGACAGGACTCCATCACTCTGGTATAATTATTGTACAAAATAGTTTGTGTTACATCCAGTGTTAATCTTCTTGAACCTGAGTTTCTTTCCATTCAATCTGTCAATCATTTATTCGACAACCGTCATATTGTCTAATGTGTGAGTCCAAGCACCATGCTAAGTGTTGGCATACGTTAGTAAGTGAAATCTGACCTGGTCCCTGGCCTCTGGCAATGGGAATAGTAATTGTAACAGTACATCCTTCAGTGACTATTGAGTGAATGAAATGAGACAGTGCGTGGGAAGGTGCTACCGGAGCATGGCCGTGAAGGAGGAAAGGCAGCAGGGGGGCTGGGGGAAGACGAGGGGTGGGCAGTTGGAATGGTGAGTGTCCCCATGCTGCAGTCATGAGGACTGGTCCCTGGAGTGCACACAGTGCCTAGGAAGCTGTTTGAGCCCCTGCTGTTCAGATTACTGGTTTACAGTCGTGGGTTCTAAGATGAGCCTTTAGTTTTGGGCATCGAAACTGGAGAGGACAAGACCCCATGCAGCCTCTAGGAGGACTGGTGCCTCTCTGCAGCAGTGCCAGCCAGGCTGAGAGCTGCCCCAAGAGCATCACTCCCGGCCCCCACCCTCGTTCCTCAGCGGCTGCAATGGCACCTTCCATACTCTCAGGGCCGGAGCTGCAGCTCCAAGCCCCTCGTCCTACCATTGGGGAAGCTGGTCCGTGTTCACAGGACTCGGTAGTGAAGCCAGCACTAGAACCCAGGTCTCTTGACTGTCCATAGCTCTCAGGGCAGCTCACGCCCGCCTGCCAGGGTGTTTCAGGACTCAACTGAAAAGATGGTGTTCCATCCGCTATATCTCCACTCACAGTGCCATTCCCCGATGCTCCTGTCCATCTCTGCTTTAGCTGAACAGACATATCTGTCCTAATAAAACGGTGTCAGATGAGTCTTTGACACAGAGCGGCCATAAATATTTCGGGACATTTGGCCTGTTAACTCTCCTTCCATCTTGAATGGTATAATAGGTGTAAGATAACTGCCTCTAAAATTAACTCTCACTTTTGTGAGGAAGGTGAACTGATACATCTTGCCTTGAAGCTGAGCCCATCTGAGGGATGTTCTGCGCTTTACTTCTTCAGAACTGACACCAGCTCTTCTGGAGAGGGACCATTTTCCTCTTCCTTTCTTCTTTGTTTCTTTTTTTTTCTTTTCTTTCTTTTCTTTTTTTTTTAAAACCTCTTGGCTTTGAGGTCACAAGATCACGTTGTGTTCCGTTTTGATGTCGTGGTGACAGAATAAAGGCATTTTTCTCCTAATATTGAGATGATCAGCCTGATCAGAGCGGTGAGCCCCCGCCTGGCTGCCCCATGTTTACAGCGATTGCACAGGTGGATAATTGCATGGGGACGTCTGTTTGCTCAGCGCTTGCTCAGCCGTGCAGCCCTACAGGTTGGGCCAGGGAGAGAGCTGTTCAGTTTATTTTCCTTTGGCTGGGAACTGTGGAGATGAATAGAGGGAGGGGAATCTGGGGTTGAGAGATTGTTGCCAAGAGCAATTTGGAGTCTCCTTCATATTAGTCAGAGATTGTGTTTTTTCCTTTCTGAAGCTGCCTGCCTCCTAGTAACTTCCACCAAGGACTTTTTTCCATCTTTGTGCGCGCTTGTTAGTTTTTGTTTTGGGTTTTTAAGTTGCTGGACTTCTCATGACTGAGCAAAAAACAGATAACTTGAGGAATGGGGTGATGAAATGGGCCCTTTGTACTATATATTCTGCATGTCGTTGCTTAATAAATTTGAATACTGATAGACCCCGAGGTACCACGGTGGAGTAAGATGAGTAATTCCTTTGAAGGGAGAGTTTATCTTCAGTGGATGACTTTCAAAATTGCAGCATAATTTAACTTTCCCTTTGTCCATCTTGAGCCTGTGTTTAGAAAAAGAAGAGTGTGTGCTCTCCTGTCTCACTCCCTTTTGTTCCCTTTGGGAGGCCCCCTCCACTGGGGCCTTGCTTGGAAGGGGACCAGCCAGAGTGGGCCTCCTTCCCTTTCCTCGTCACCCCCGCATCTCCACCTGCAGGAGGCCAGCAATCGAGAAGGAAGCTTCCCCGGGGGGTAAGAACTCTTCCCCAGTAGTGGCCTGGCTCGGGTCACATGAGGTGCAGAAGAGGAAAAGCTGGCCCGGCCGATGCCTGCCCCTCCTGGACCAGAACCCCGGGGCGGGATGTTCTTCATCTGTCAAGAAGTGAGTTCATCCTCTGGACAAATTGAGTAGAGCAGCACCGAGACACGGAACTGAAAAAACTGCCTAATAATAGAGTACACAGTCAGCGTCGGCTTTTTCAAATTAGATACAAACCAGAAGCAGATGTACACGTGACCTCCCCAAATAATATCACAGAGCTGAACTTGGCCTTCAGAAAAATTCTGCCTTGCCTACACACACATATGTGCACACGTACACTCAGGGCTGTTGCTTTTTTGGCTGTGGATTCCGGCTGATAATTTTGCTCTTTCTGGAGCTAACGGGCTGATCCATTGTTTTTTGTGAGGCTACTGGTAAAAGTAAGAGGTGACAGTGACCCTAATTCCTGTTGATACGTACGTGCCTTCTTTTAAGCCCTAGGGAATTCTAGCAGAGAACGCCTCTATTTAGCAGAACCTAAATAACAGGAACTTTTCTAAGGTTTGTTGTTTTTTTTTTAATACCAGCTTTATTGAGATATAAGTCACATACCATGCAAGTCACCCACTTAAAGTGTACAAGTCAGTGGTTTTTAGTATATTTACAAAGTTGTGCTACCCTCACCACCATCAATTTTAGAATATTTTCATCACACCAAAAAGAACCCCGTAACCATTAGCACTCACTGCCCATTTCACCCCAACTCCCCAGTTCTAGGTCACCAAAAATCTACTTTCTATCTCTAAATATATTTGCCTGTTCTGGACATTTCATATCAATGGAATCATAGAATATGCGGCCTTTTGCGACTGCTTTCACTTCGCCTAATGTTTTTAAGGTTCATCCACACTGTAACATGTATCGGTATTTCATTTCTTTTATTGATGAATAATGTTCCTTGTATGGATATATCACATTTTATTTCTCCAATCATCACCTGATGGATAGCTGGGTTGTTTCCATGTTTGGCTCTTGTCAATAATACT